GTTCAGCAGTTTTACCCATTCTGGAAACTTCTAAACAGTCCCCAGCCATTGCTTTTAAAAGTAGCAGCAGCAGCAGCCACGGACTATTTTGGAATTGCCGGCATGGATATTCTGCTGGGGCTCAGGCTTTTGCAGGAGTGGAAGTTGATTCTGGCACTCCTCCTAACTTGGGATCTGGGATATGTTCCTCTGTTGCCCACCTCTAGTTATGCTACTGAGTTAAACATACAGCTGTACTAGTTTTTCCATGGCTTTCCCCACAGCCCAAAGCTCCACTGATGTTATACATGCGAAACTCTTTTGTGAAGCAGAACAAGGTGTGCTGAAGCAACAGATTCTTAAGCAAGCATTCCACCATAGTTTTGAAAGTGTAATTTATCATCCTTGCCATCTTGTACCATTAAAAATAAAAGTATTTAACTGGGTATCTTAAGGACTTGGAAATGAAAGAAGGCAACATTTAGCTAAATTACCAGCATTTGGTATCTTTAGCTTAATATCATACAGTACTGGTTTAAATGGTATGCTTATGTACAGATTCTGTTACATCACTTTGCACCCCCATCATTAGAGAGAAGAAATAAATTGTAAGAAGACAGCATTTTTTTTCCTAAATGTTTTCATGGAGATTATATTAGTTGCTTAATTCAGTAAAATTGCCATTTGCTAATGGAGTTTGAGGTTTTCAAGCAAAAAAAGAAAGAAAGAAACTTAAAAAAAAAAAAGGGGGGGGGAGAGAAAGGACAGAAAGAAGAAACCCCAAACAGAATCTTTTACTTGGTCCTGCTCAGTCTAGAATTTCAGAAGAGAGAGGAAAAGGTCTGGTTATCCACAGCCAGATGCATTGTTAAAAGTTCATACTATCACTTTGACATTTAGAATAGGACTCAGTGTCTTTGTAAATTCCTCTTCGTATTACCAGTGTAGGTCTCTGAGCTCAGACCGTTTCACAAACCATAACATTTTTTAGTGAGTGATTGATCTGTATTATGTGTCCTAGCCATCAGAAGAATCTTGGGATGTTGCTTGTATAAACTGTAATACAATCTGATGCTGAGCATTTGGTTACAGACTTTCATAGACCTATTGGCGATACTCAATCCTCCTGGATTTGGGAATAGAGCTTATCTGATACCTGCAAAAAAAAAGCTCTTCATTTTCTCTGTTCCCACTTAAATAACTCAACACATCTGGTAACACTGTAGGATCATTGTCCTTTCAGTTCCTCTGCAGTTCATATTGCTACAATATTTCTTAGATATCTGGTTACCTAAAGGGCAACACGATTTTTTTGAGAATGTTCTTTAGGTCTTACAAATTAAACCCTGTGCATCACAAGAAAAAAAATACTATTTAATCAGCAATGTTTCTGAAGTACTGGAGGAGGGGGCAAGCGCGCGCACACACACACACACACACACACACACGTAAAAAAGGTTTGCAGTAAAGTGAAAGCTAGCATAAGAATGTGTTTTTATTATCAAATAATGTACGCCTAAATGTAGAAATACCTTCCTGTTAGGGGCTTTATCATTTGGTTTAATGTCTTCAATTACAAGAATGATAAAAACTGAAACCAAATCCTTTAATTCAATAAATGCTGGGCTGAATTTTAGGAAGCAAAATGGGGGAATCAGATATAGAATCATATGTATAGGAAATTGAACATTCAAGAAATTAGAACTTGGTGAACAACTAAAGGGCTAGCCTTAAGGTGTGCTTATTTGAAATAGCTGCATTTAATTTTACAATAAATCCCAGTATTTTGTTCCAATTAAGATAGTTCATGGACACAGCTCTAAATTGTACAGTAGTTGTAGTGAGACCATGGACTACTTGTTTTACATTCTGGATCAAGTTCAGATTTTTAGGCTTTGCTTGAATAAAATAAGAAGTCTGAACCCTGAAGATAATACAGATTGATAAATCTGATTTAAACATTCCCATGTTGCAGACGGGTTCAGTGTATGTACAGCTGACCCTCAGGCCATGCACTAAATACATCCACAGTGCATTCTCAGAATGCCTGAATACCAAATGATCACATTTTAAAGGTTAGCTTTCTATAGATTCTGACTTTTCTGTATTAGCCATGAAGATTAGAATTTTAACAGCTCCCAATGAGGGATATTGTGAAGTGTCTACTTGGCAGTAAAAAAACAAAACTAAGCTAAAAATCCCAGAAGTATTGTCTCAGTTATGAACTGGGATCTAGCAGTGCTGTGTATATCCTTGCCAGACTACACTCTAGTTCATTCTCTTAAAAGTGTATATACATTGATTTTTTTTGTTTATATTAACTTAAATCTTTGATGGAAGGATGAGGTACTGGCTTAAGGTTCCAGTATGGAAACTAGGATCGGTTTTCTTCCGCATTAGATGGAAAAAACTACTTGGCTAGTTCCTCTTTTGGTAGGTGATACAGTCTTTCAAAGCCACAATCTTGCAAGGGACGTTGTCATGAGCCTTGTAAGCACTCTGGTAACTTCTGTTGTAAGTTTTTAAATATCTTTAAAAAAAATTTTAGAGATATACGTTTTTTGTGTTTCTCCTGTTTTCCAGGTTGTGGAGCTCATATCAAGTGCAATTGGTGACTTGGTACAAGGAATATACTATGAAAATTCCACCTTAGAGGTAAGAATCTCAGGTGCTTGCTCTTTATTCAGATAGTTTTAAAACAAATGTAGGACAACAGTAAACAGCATTATGTGTTTTTTCCCGTTGTTTAAAGCATAACTATAATCCTAGCAAGGTTCAGCAATATCTTCACCACGGTGCCTAATTTCTGCTACATTGCATGCTTATCTCTAGAATTGGAGGTTTTTAGAATCTTAAGATTTTTTGACTAATAAAAACAAAGGCACTTTCATCAGAGACCCACTTCAGTCAGTAACACTAGTAGGGTGACAATCTTTAAAAAAGGGGAAGGCAGGACATATGTCTGCCTGCCCTACCACCCACTGTGCCAGCCACACACCCCCTGCCCGCCCAGCAGCAGCAGGGGGCACAACTCCATGCCACCACAGCTGGGTGGGCAGGGGGTGCCTCGCCATGATGGTACGGTCAGTGCGGGGCCCCCAGGGGCAGGGCAGTAGGGTGGGGAGCCCCAAGCCTGCAGCAGGCAGCCCACATCTGCCCCCACCCTGCACACAAATTGGGGAGGCACATGCCACCCATGCTCCCCTGCCCCCTGGATAAGCCACCTGCAGCTCCATACCTCTCCCCACCCCAGCCCCATGTACCGCCCTGGCTGGGTAGCATCCTCAGCCACTCCCTCCCTCACTGTGGGGGCTTTAGTCTGCACCCCCCCCAGCCACTCCCCCATAGACTTACCTGCAGGGAGTTGCTCTTCAGGCTGCCTGGCTGTATTTCCCAGCCACATGTATGTGTGCAGG